CAAATGACTACATTCAGTAATGAAAAAAGGAACATTACAATATAGGTTATCTATATTATCTAATACATTACATATATTAGATAAAATATCTAATATATATTTCTAATATCTACATATCTAATATAGATATATATCATCTAATACAAATGGACAAACTCTCAGAAAGAAATATCAAAACTGCTGTGTTTATTTCAGTATTATTGTGAATAAATAGCCAAGGTATGGAAACAACCTAAGTATTCATCAACAGAACTCTCTCACGATGGAACAGTGGCTATAAAGAGGGCATTGCTCAACAACATTGAAAGGCAACCTGATGACATCTGGGTAAAAAGACTAAAATCATGGTGAATAATGGACACACTAAAAGCTTGGGAAGAAAACCTGGGGAGAGAGATTATTTGAATAATAAGTGTACCAAAAAGTTTCTGCATGTATTGGACATCCAGGAAAGTACATGCACGCCCAGGGAAGGATATATGTAATATACAAAGGGTCCAGATTTTACCTTTTACTTTTTTATTATGAAGTATGTAAGGAATCAAGAAAGTATCACCAGGAGAAGTTAAAATAAACTGCTACTAAAAAAGCACAGATATTGGACCAAAACTTTAAATCAACCATCTTAAAAATGTTCAAAGAGCTAAGGAAAGATAGGTCAATTGAAATTATTCAGCCTGAAAAAAAGGCAAAAGAATGAAGAAAAATGTATAGAGCCTCAGAAACCTTTAAGACACCCTTAAGTGTACCACTTATGCATGGTGGAAGCTCCATTAAAAGAGGAGAGAGAGAAAGAGAAAGAAAAAATGTATATAAAGTAATAGCTGAAAATGTTACAAATTTGATAAATGAAATGAATGTACACATCATTCTTGTGTACACAAGGTACACAACATCTTTTTGTGTTATTCTTTTGGCATTTGTTCAGCTTCCTCAACAAACGCCAAAAGAATAACACAGAAATATCCACACTGATATATGACAATAAAACTTCCAAAAAAGAAAAACTTTTTGAAAGAGAAAATCATGAAAGCAGCAAAAGAGAAGTGACTCCTCACATATAAAGATCCTGAAGATTGACAGCCAATTTCTTGGCAGAATTCATGGAAGTGAGGAAGAAGTGAGACAACATATTTACAGTTGAAAATATACACCATAAACCAGAAATTCTACATTCAGCAAAACTACCTTTCAGAAATAAAGAAGAAATTAAAACATTCCCAGATAAACAAATCCTAACCAGTTCATCGATAGTAGGCCTGCCATACAAGAAATTCTAAAGGGATATCATCAAGTAGAGATAAAAGACGTAGTAACTTGAAGCCACATGAAGAAATAAAGAATATTGGTTTTGGTACCTATATAGGTAATTTAATAGCCAGCACTGTATTTTTGGTTTGAACTTCTTTTTATATATGACTTAAATGACAGATGTATAAAATAATTATAATAAATGTATCTTAATAGGCACACAATGTACAAAGATGCTATTTGTGGCAATAATAACACACAAAAAAAGAATCAGACAAGTATTACATAAGAGCAGAGTTTTGTATACTACTGAAGCTAGGATGGTTTTAATCCAAAATAGGTTGTTATAAGTTTAGGAGGCTAATTGTAATCCCCAAGTAACCACCAAGACAATAACTAAAAACATATATTCAGAAAAGGAATGAGAAAGGAATCCGCTTGGTACACTATTTAAAAAAATCAATTAAACACAAAGGAAGGCAGTAATGGAAGAATTGAGGAACAAAAAAGATATAACATATAAAAATAAACAGCAAAATGATAGAAGTAAGTCATTTCATATCAGTAATTACTTTAAATATAGATGGATTAAGCTTTCCAATGAAAAGACACAGATTGGCAGAATTGATTTTTTTAAAATGTGATCCAACTATATAGTGAGAGATTCTTTTTAGTTTCAAAGACATGAATAAGTTGAAAATAAAACTATAGAAAAGATATTCCATGCAAATAATAACCAAAAGAGCTGGAGCTGTTATACTAATATCAGATAAAATAGACTTTAAGTCAAAAATTGTTGTAAGAGACAAAGAAGTACATTATATATTGATAAAGGAGTCAATTAAACAGGAAGACTTCATTTTTTCTTGTTTATAATATCTTATAGAAAATAAATAATTATTTGTAGAAAACAAGTGCTAATTACATGAAGCAAACATTGACAGATTTGAATGGAAAAGCAGACAGTTCTACAATAATAGTTGAAGATTTTAATATCCCACTTTTTTTTTTAGATAAGGTGTCACTCTGTCACCCAAGCTGGAGAGCAGTGGCCAAATCACAGCTCAGATAGCCTAAACATCCTGAGCTCAAGCAATCCTCCCATCTCAGCCCACTGAATACCTGGAACCAAGCAATCCTCCCATCTCAGCCCACTGAATACCTGGAACCAAGCAATCCTCCCATCTCAGCCCACTGAATACCTGGAACCAAGCAATCCTCCCATCTCAGCCCACTGAATACCTGGAACCAAGCAATCCTCCCATTTCAGCCCACTGAATACCTGGAACCAAGCAATCCTCCCATCTCAGCCCACTGAATACCTGGAACCAAGCAATCCTCCCATCTCAGCCCATTGAATAGCTGGAACCACAGGTCCACGCCACCACACCCAGCTAATTTCTTGTGTTTCCCACTTTCAATAATGAATAGAACATCTAGACAGAAGACCAGAAAGAAAATAGGACTTGAACACTATCAGCTGATTAGACTTAACACATATGAAGAACATTCCGCCCAACAATAGCAATACACATTCTTTCCATGGAATATTCTCCAGGATAAAGCATAGGTAGGCCACTAAACAAGGCTAAATATATTTTAAAAGACTGAAATCATACAAAGTATATTCTCTGAACATAGCAGAATGAACTTGGAAATCAATAAGAGAAGGAAAACCGGAAAATCCATACATATTTGGAAATTAAACATACGTTTGAACAACCAATGTATCAAAGAAAAAAGTCACTGAGAAAGTATCTTGAGATTAATGAAAAACTAACACCAAAAACTTGTGAGATGCCACAAAAGCATCAGCTCAGAGGGAAATTTGAACTATAAAACAGCTACATTAAAAAGAATAAAGATCTCTAATTAATAAATCATCGTTTTGTAAAATTTATATACATACCTATAGATCCAGACACAGATTTGCATGGGGGTAATTCCAGAAGGATACACATCAAAATGTCAATATAGGTTATCTCTTGAGTGTTTGGGTAATTTCTTCTTTACGCTTTCTTTTTTATATTTCTACAGTGATTACATTTAAGTTATAAAATGCAAAAATAAATTCACAAAACCAATAACCTTTGAAGCTACAAGCCATAGCCCAACACCTATTTTACTCTAAACACAGTATCCAAGGGTGTCATGCATTTTTAAATAACTACGGTAGATAATTCATAAAATTACATTCAACAAACACTTATTGAACACCTACTATGTTCTAGGCACTGTTACATAGATGATTCTACTTCAGCGTGCTTAGATTTCCCCTTTCCATTCCTAAGTATGGCATCCATTGGATTCACTCTCCCTGTCACACTTTGATCACAAGTGTTTGCATTTGGATTTTAAGTCTCATTTCTAATTGTTTAATGCAATTAAATCCCTACTAAAGGAATATCTGGCATCACACTACCAACCCTTGGCCTGCCTCAGTAATTTCAGGCTTTGCAAGGTCAAAGTAATCTATCTCATCAACCACCACCTCTGTACTGGCCTACTCCTGAAAGTAGATAGCCTACTGACTCTGAGGTGCGTTCTTAAGGTTTATTGCAAAGGGAGAGGGCCACATCTCAAAACCCGGGCCACACTGGCCAACCCCATCAAATACAAATTCTCCACTTGTTAAATATTCCTTCTGGTATCTTTCTCCCACGTTCCTTACTCCCTTTCTGGAACTCTGGTTTGACCTCCTTCTAACTCTCCTCTCTGCTGTAGGACCACTAGATGGTGCCATTTTAGAACCCATTCTCACTGGATCTTCTCTCTCTGGCTCTCCAGCCATGGATCACATGTCTAATTCAGAAAGAAAACACCTTGGAGCTTGAGTTTCCACTGCCAAGACAGATATACCCAGAGGGGATGGAAAATAACTGCTGACCTGTCCTTCGAGATGGGGGAGGAGGCTCCTGCAGGACAAGGGGTATGGGGAGGGGGTGGTGAAGAGCAAAGCTCTTCTTTACACTCTTTTCTTGTGAGGGCGGATCCCTAAGATTTTAATAGCATGGGCGTTAGTAAGACTAAACTCTTCCTGGTGCTACTGAAAACAGCACTAGCACTGTAAAGACAGTACTGAAAAATGTAAAAGAATACAATATGATTATGTCACCTCAACACTGACTAGAGTCTAAAGAAGAATAACATTTAGCAAGACTATTTACTAGCACGGTGCCCAGCTAACATCATACTGTGCTTACATCTGTGATGAGAGACAAACTCAGTACCAAAGTGTGAATCTGAGTTATTGACAACAGCAGCAACCTCAGTTCAGGTTTATGGTCTTCGTGCAGCTGGTCGCATGTTCATCTGTTAACATTTGGGGGTGCGGTGGGGGATGTTAATCAGAGGAGCAGTACCTGAGAGAGGGCCTCTTTCTCACACACTGCCGAGAACCCCCGCGAACAAGGAAGAGGGTAATGCCCTAGCAGCGTTGCATGGAGCCCCGTGGCCTGGTCGCTCTGGAACGGAGGAGAAGCTCTATTTGCCAGAGCCTGGGAATCGCCTCTTCTCAGGAGATGGATTCGTCCCTGCGTTCGCCTGCGCACTGCAGTGTCAGCTGATAACCGTACCTCCCTCACAGCAGCGGAACGGCCACTCGGCCACTCGATAGTGCGATACATGCGGGAAGGCTGGAACAAAGCCTGTTGGAATCCTGTGGCGCTCCTGGAGGATCGCCTAGACGACCCAGCCCAGCCCCACCCACAGCGCCTGGCAACCTAGACCAGTCAAGGACGCAGCAGGAAATGGAAGAGCCTCCACCAGAGGCTCCGGCTAAACCCTTGGAACATGAAATTCCAGCTGCTCCCTCAACTGCTGGACTCACTAATGGCCAGGAAGAAGACGACCAGAAGAGCCAGGCTGAAAGGAAGGTAGATAACGAAAATGCTCACAGAACAGCTGGCCAGACTGCCCTAAGAGTGCCTAGTCAGGCTGAATCCAACATATTTAGCCAAGCTACCAATGGAGTAGCTAAACAAAATGGGCATAGTACACCTGGTACTATGCCTGGCGGCAGAGTATCCAACCCTGCTAATGCTTCTGACCTTAGAGCATATGGTCAGGTTGACCAAACACCGTATGAACAGACTGAAGGCAAGGCATCTAACCAACCTAATAATGTACAGTATGAACAGAGTGATGGCCAGGTGTCTGGCCTGACTGAGGAAAGAACGGCTCAACAGATTGAACGAAGATTACCTAGCCAGGCTGAGAGAAGAACTTCTGAGCAGATTCCCCACAGATTATCCAGCCTATCTGAGGCAAGAACTTCCAGGCAGATTGACAGTGGATCCTCCGTACCATCTGACCAAAGACTTTCTGTACAGGTTGACCGCAGAATGTCAGGTAAAGCTGAGAGAAGAACTTCTGTAAAGATTCACCACATATCAGCTGGCCTGGCTGACCAAGGAACTTCTGAGCAGACTGATCTCAGATTGTATGGCCTGGTTGACCACAAAACATCTGTAAAGACTCACCACCAAGTGTATGGCCAAGCCAGTCAAACAGCTGAACACCAGCCTATTGACCAAGCTCATAGTAATGCTGATCAATTTCCAGTTGACAATGCCGACTACAATGAAACTGACCAGAATGACCACTTAGCAGACAGACAAACTAATTACAAAGTCCAACTGTCTTACTATGGAACAGGTGGCCAGTCTGAAGGCAGAATATTTCCCCTGTTAGGCAATGGCAAGGAACACAAAGAGGCTGACTACAGAGTACAATCCTGCAAATTTGAGGATAGCCAAGTAGACCCCAAGTCCAAGCTTTCAGCTGAAATGGAAACTCAACATGCAACCACTATCCCAGCCTGCAACCCAGTTGATGCTAGATTCACCAGTAATTTCCAAGCAAAAGACCAAGCCCCTTTCCAAAGACTCCCCTCCATTTCATCCAAATTGAACTATGTCAGCAGTCAAGAAAAAGCTCAAGCTTTAGTAACCAAATCTGTAAGTTAAATGGGTGTTTGAATCCGACCTGGGAGATCAGAGATCAAGATGGGGCCTCGGGAGTAGAAATAGGGGCAAACGATGGAAGGGCACACGTTGCTTCAAGGATAAAGAATAAACCCACATGTTGTGGTATGTACGACCCATAATTTCAGAAAGGGCATGAGAAGGATGGGAAATAAAAGAGAATTATGTCCTTCTCTCCCACCCAAAGGCCATTCAGGAAGGATTACTAAACCAGGATTCAGGCAACCTGCATTTTAAGTCCTGGTTCTGCAACTAACTCTGTGACACTGTCATTCTCCCTCTCTGGGCTTCTGCCGGGAGAAGGGAATTTGCAGTCAGTTAGACATCCCTGTGAAGGGAAAAGTACTTGAAGTAGATTGGTAAGACCAAGGGTATGGCCCAGGACATGAGGTACATTATATTGCACCTGGAGGCCTGGAGGATTATCCAAGTCTCTCATAAAAATGTGTCTTTTCTCCAACTCCTGATGTTAAGTTCTCATCAACATCAGAAGCACTTGAAGTAGATTGATAATGCCTAGAGTACCACCCCGGACATGAGGTACATTATATTGCACCTGGAGGCCTGGAGGATTATCCAAGTCTCTCATAAAAATGTGTCTTTTCTCCAACTCCTGATGTTAAGTTCTCATCAACATCAGAAGTACTTGAAGTAGATTGATAATGCCTAGAGTACCACCCCAGACATGAGGTACATTATATTGCATGTGGAGGCCTGGAGGATTATCCAAGTCTCTCATAAAAATGTGTCTTTTCTCCAACTCCTGATGTTAAGTTCTCATCAACATCAGATTTCCCTGATAATGACAATTGCTAGGCCCTTCAGGTTTACTGAGGACTCTTTGGTGGGGGGATTTAAATTTCAGGATGAATTTTCAGAAACTGAGCGCAGAAAGAGTTATCGTATATGCAATCAAGCTTTTAGGAGGCTCCCTTCTATAGTGTATGAAGATCCTTATCAAGTTTCACTCCAATACATGGAAAAACACCACATTCTGCAGATATTCCAGGTAAACCTCTCAATTCCTCTTTTTAACTGTAAGTTTTTCAAGAGGGACAAGAAAGGGCGTATTCTGCAAAAAGGGATATATTCTAATTGAGAAAACAATAAATGAATTAAAATGTAGTTACCATAAGTAGTAGTAAATGATACATACCAAATGGATGATACCATCATATGAAGCCATTCAGAGGGATTAGAGAGAGATCAGGTAGGTTGGCTGATAGGGAAAAACTTAGCCAAGAGTTAAATTTATAGCCAGTCTAGGAAGGAAGGACAAAATATTATCAATTGAAAAGAAGAGAAAACGGCAATCCAGGCAGAAGTATTATACTGTCACATGCTTAATAATGAGGATATGTTCTGAGAGGTCTGAAACATGCATCATTAGGCGATTTTGTCACTGTATGAACATCAGTGTACTTAACACAAATCTAGATGATATAGCCTACCACACACAGGCTGTATGGCATAGCCTACTGCTCCTGGGCCACAAACCTGTGTTGTACATTCTTATAATGAATACTGTAGGCAATTTTAACACAATGGGAAGTATTTGTGTATCTAAACGTATCTAAACATAGAAAACATACAGTAAAATTTCCATGCGAAAGATAAAAAATGGTACACCTTTATGGAGTACTTAACTATGTATGGAGCTTGCAGGCCTGCAAGTTGCTCTGAGCGAGTCAGTGAGTGAGTGGTGAGTCAGTGTAACGGTCTTGGATGTTACCACACAATACTGTAGACTTTATAAACACTGTACACTTAGGCTACACCAAATTTTTTTTAATTTTTGTTTTTTCAAAAATAACCTTAGCTTACTGTAGCTTTCTTACTTTATAAACTTTAAAAATTTTTTAATCTTCTGTTTTGTAATAACACTTAGCTTAAAATACACATTGTATAGCAATACAAATATTTTTCTTTACATCCTTATTCTATAATCTTGGTTCCATTTTTAATTATTTTTACTTTTATTTTTCTACTATTTAAACATTCTTATGAAAACTAAGACACAAATACACTCATTAGCCTACACCTACACAGGGTGAGGATCATCAGTATCACTATCTTCCGCCTTCCCAACTTGTCCCACTGGAAGGTCTTCAGAGGCAATAACATTCATGGAGCTGCATCTCCTGTGATAACAATGCCTTCTTCTGGAATATCGCCTAAAAAACTTCCCTGCTGGTTTACAGTTAACTTTTTTAAATAGGTAGATGTAGTACTTCCTAAATAAATCACATAGCAAGTACATAAACCAGCAGGATAGTCATCTATTTTCAAGTATGACATACTGTACATACTTCACGTGCTATATTTTTATACGACGGCACCAAAATAGGTTTGTTTACACCAGCATAACTACAAACACATGAGTGATGTTTGCTCTATGATGTTAAGACAGCTACGACGTCACTGGACAATAGAAATGTTTCAGCTCCATTAGAATCTTTAAACACATTCCTATAAGGAACATGACTAAACTTTCAAATGATGACCAATCTCATGACCATCTAAGAATTCACATTTTCAAGAGGGGAAAAGAAATACTTTAAAATTGCTTCTAATTCTTCAAATTACAAATCTCATTGACCTCAGGATGTGGTGCTGGAACTTTATGATATCCCTTGACCTCACAAGAGATTATTGCCTGGTATGTTTATTTTTATGTTAATATTATTTACCCCCAGCAATGTACATGAACATATACAACAAAGGTGTAAAACAAGAATGGCTTACCTCAAACGAAAACCTTTATATTGAATTTTTTTTAATTTAAAGTAGAGCATAGAGGAAAGAGCACAGATTTTACAATCTTTTGCAGTTAGGACTGAGCCCAAGACTCAAATCCTAACTTTGCACGTCTCATCTTTGTGATTTGGGAAAAATTACCTAACTTCTGCGAACCTCAGATTCTTCATATAAAATAAGGATAAATGATGTCTACTTCATTAATCCTGGTCTATGCCTTTTCCTTTTTCAAATGTCTTTTTGTTGGAAGAGTACTAATGGCTGGGTTTCTGGCTTTAATTAAGGAACTACTAATTATTAAACTGAAGGCTGAAACCTGTTTAGAGTTTTAATCATTTAAACCTGTTGAGTTTTAATCATTTCATAATTTTCTTCACTTGTGAAGAAAAAACCACTTAGGCATGCAACATTGTTGTAAGAAAAAAATAGTAATCAAATATGTGTTCGACAGAAATAAATATAAAATACATAATGGAATGACGTTGGTGCCTTAAGTAGACCCGAATATTCTATCCTGAAATTTGCCTGATTGTTATGTTCTGCAAATGAGAATTGTGCTTTCTTTATTATAATTTTTAATTTATTCAATAACAACAAAAAACGGAAGTGAATCTAAAGTTTTATATATACTTTTTCATAATATTGCAGTACTGAACATCATTTTTACCATTTAGAATCAAATGCCTCAGAAGCAAGTTTCTATGCAAAATTATGCAATTTTAAATTTTTTATTTAAAACACTTTCCTCTTACTGTTCTTCAAAGCAAATAATTTATTAATTTCTCAATCTAGCAAGATCACAATTCTCAAAACAAAGATTTTTTTCCAAATCTTCTATCTCTTTGATCTTGGAAACTAATAAAAATATTCATTGCTATTTATTATAAAACTTTAATTCTTCTAAATTTTACCTTAATTTGCCTAACTTTCTTAGTAATAATAAAGTAAGCTGTTACTTTTTAGAAATACATGAATTTATTCAAAATACCATAGTGAGCTGGAAATAGTGGTGTGCACCTATAGTCCTAGCTACTCAGGAGGCTGAGGCAGGAGGATCCCTTGAGCCCAGGAGTTTGAAGCTGCAGTGAACTATGTATGAGCTATGACAGTACCACTGCATTCCACCTTGGGTGACAGAGTGAGACCCCATCTCTGAAAAAACAAAAGCTATGGTATGTGTTAGATTAGCGATAAAGATAACATCAAATATAACCTGACCACATAACTTTTGCTCAGAGCCATAATGTGATGCCTTATGCTCTCTCTCTCTCTCAGCAGATTACTGAAAACTTAGTCTATGAAAAGCCAGAGGACCCCCTGAATTTTATGCTGTGCCAGGTATAGAATTGGAGAAAAAGAGCAACATTTTTATTCTCTTTATTGTAAAATACAGCACACATACAGCAAAGTGTATAGAACAAAGTATGTACAACTCTGAATTATTATGAAGTAAACATACCTGTAACTACCATTCAAGTTTTTAAAAGATAAATGAAACATGACCGGCATACCAGAAGCCCCCATCCTTTCCCTCACCGTTATTACTTCCCACAAAGGGATTCTTTATGACCTTTATGATAATGATCTTCTCACTTATCTTTAAAATTTTAATCACTAAACCAAAATCATGAAACACTTTTGTTTAGATTTGTCAGCATTTGAACTGTATATAAAGGGAACCATATAGTATGTAATCATTTGTGTCTGGTTTCTTATGCTCAAAATTATGTCATCGGGATTGATCCATACTGTTGTATGTGGCTGTAGTTCATTCATTTTAATTGGCAGGGGTGTCCAATGTTTGGCTCACCTGGGCCGTGTTGGAAGATGAATTGTTTGGGCCCACACATAAAATACACAGACAACGATAACTGATGAAAAAAATGCAAAAAATCTCATAATATTTTAAGAGAGTTTATGAATTTGTGTTGGGCCTATTCAAAGCTGTCCTGGGCTACGTGCAGCCTACAAACTTGAGGTTGGAAAAGCCTGCTGTATAGTATTCATTCTGTAGAATACCATAATTTATTCCACTTTCGATGGGAATTCAGGTGGTTTCCAACTTGGAGCTATTACAGAATTTTTTGCTATAAACTTTCTTGCACATGTCTTTTGGTAATACATTTCTCTTGAGTGCATACCTTGAAGAGTAATTGCTGGATCATAGAGTATGTGTTTACTCAGCTTTAGTAGATTATTTCAAACAATTTCCCAAAGTGATTATACCAATTTACGTTCCCACCAGCACTATGTAAGAGTTCTAGTTGTTCCACATGCTTACCAATGGTTACTACTATCAGTGTTTTTAGCATCAACCATTTCGATAAGTGAATAGTAATATATCATTGCAGTTTCATTTTGCTTTTTCCTGATTACTAAGGCAGTTGCATATCTTTTCATTTGTTTATTGGCCATTTGGAAAGACTTATTTTTCTATTGTATTGTCTGTCTTTTTCTTAATCATTGGTAACAGTTTTCCATATATTCTGGTTAGGACTTTTTTGTTGATTATGCTTGTTGCAGGTGTCTTTTCACTATGTCTTCCCTTTCTTCCTCTTAACTGTATTTTTGCATGAACAGAAATTCTTAATTTTAATGTAGTCAAATTTAACAATCTTCTGTTTTATGATTAGCATTTCCAGCGTCCCATTTTAGAATCTTCTCCTTAGCCCAAGCTCTTGACAGAGTCTGGCTCTGTTGCCCATGTTGGAGTGCAGTGGCACCATCTCGGCTCATTGCAACCTCCACCTCCTGGGTTCAAGCTGTTCTCCTGCCTCCCGAGTAGCTGGGACTACCGGTATGCACCACTATGCCTGGCTAAACTTTTTGTATTTTTAGTAGAGACAGGGTTTCAGCATGTTGGTCAAATTCGTCTCAAACTCCTGACCTTAAATGATCCTCCCATCTGGGCCTCTCAAAGTGCTGGGATTATGGGTATGAGCCACCGTGCCCAGTCAACCATAGTTTTCTATATTATCTCATGAAAGTTTCACTGTGGTTGGCCTTTTTAAAGAGTTGGTTTTGTTTGTTTGTTTGTGGTGTTTCACATTTATATCCACAATTGGTCTGGAATTGATTTTGTGCAGGGTGTAAGGTGGGGTCAAGTTTCATTTTCTTCCAGTCAGATACTGAGTTGACCAAGCGCCTTTTAGTAAAATCACTATAACTTCCATATTGTTCTACTTGAATTATATAGTATATTTGTCCATCTTTGCTTTAGAACAAGACTGTCTTAGTTGATGTGCGTTACAATGTCTTAATATCTAGTAGAGCAAGTTCTCCCACTTTATTCTTCCTTTAAAGCACCTTAGCTGTTCTTGAACCTGTGTATTTCTATATCAGTTTTTAGACTGACTTGTCAAGTTATAGAAACATAGACATATGCACACACACAAGCATGCAGTGGGATTTTTATTGGGATTGTGTTGAATCTGTAGATCAGTTTAGGGAAGTGTGATAGCTTTAAAATGAGTATTTCCAGTTGGTTATCCTCTCCATTTATTTAGGTCTTCTAAAATTTCTCTTAGTACAGTCATTGTTTCCATAAAATTTACATCTCTTTTAATAAATTTATTCATAGGTGTTTTATATTTTATGCTATTGTAAATAAAATACTTACAATTTTAGTATCTAATTGCTTGTACGAAGTAAAACTAAGCTTTTTGTTAATCTTACATCCAGCAACCTTACTAAACTTATTAATCCCAATAACATATGTGTTTATTCTTTAGGTGTTTCTACAGATATACGTAAATAGTAACAGTTTTACTTTGACCTTTCCAATTCTTTTCCTTTTTTCCTCCTTGTTTTATTGCATGTATTATACATCTTCTCTTTGACTCTTCAGATCCACCTTTCCGTCTTCTCTACCGCAAAAATACTAACTTGGAATTACCAAATCAACAAGCTCTCATTCCTTCTGACTTGCAATTGGGTCAAGCCAATGGGAAACCCTGGAGGATGATTATAAGAAGGAAGCAGGTGAAATCAGGTTTATTCTCCTCAGCTTCTCCCCTATGAGGTTACCTTGACCTGTCTGTCTTAAGCTGTCTCAAAGCATTTTATTTTACATGACTATTTTTTTCTGTATTCCAGCAATGTTCCCTCTCCTTGACCCTTCAACCCTAAAGTAAGTTCAACTGCTACTATCTTTGGATTACTATATTGTTCCATGTGACTTCCTATGCCTAATTCTTTTAAAATAGCCCCTTTATAAATAAACTGTCATTGAATTCTATTATAAGTATGCCATCCATTTCCTGTTGGATTGCTGACTGATACAGTACACTGGTTAGGGATCTCCTTTTTAATTAATGCTGAATAGAAGTAGTTACAGTGGCTCACCTTACTTGCTTTTGTAATTTTCTCAATATATAATAGTTGCACATATTTTTAAGATGCAAGTGATATTTTCATACATATATGTAATATGTAATGATCAAATCAGGATAATTAGGGTATTTACTACCTAAAACATTTACCTTTTTTTCTTTTAGGAACATTATAATTCTTCTCTTCTAGCTATTTTGAAATATACAATAAAATTTTGTTAACTATAATTTTCCTACTTTACTAAAGACTAGAACTTATTCCTTTTAACTATATTTGGTACCCCATAACCAATTTCCCTACATCTTCCCCTCTCCTTTTCCCTTCCTGGCCTCTGGTAACCATGATTCTACTCTCTGCCTCCATGAGATCCGCTTTTTTAGATCTCATATGAATGAAAACATGCGATATTTATCTTTCTGTGCCTGGCTTATTTCACTTAACATAACGACCTCCCATTCCATCCATGTTGCTGCAAATAACAGGACTTCCTTCTTTTTATGTCTGCATAGTGTTCCATTATATATATATGCCACATTTTCTTTATCCATTCATGTGCTGATAGACACTTAGGTTGATTCCATAACTTGGATTTTTCTAATAGTGCTGCAGTAAACATGGAAATGCAGGTATCTCTTCAAAACACTGATTTCCTTTCCTTTGGAAATATAGTTAGCAGTGGGATTGCTGGATTATGTGGTAGTTCTATTTTAGTTTTGTTTAGAAAACTTGATATGTTTCTCATAGTGGTTATACTACTTTACATTTCCACCAACAGTGTGCAGTATTTCTCTTTCTTCATATCCTCAGTAGCACTTAGTTTGTTTGGTGGTTTGATTTTTTTGTTTTTGTTTTTTGGTTTTTGGTCTTTTTGATAATAGCCATTCTAACTGGGGCTAGATGGCATCTCATTATGGTTTTGATTTGCATTTCCCTGATGATTAGTGATGTTGAGCATTTTTCCATGTACATCTCGACCATTTGTATGTCTTATTTGGAGATAGGTGTATTCAAATCTTTTGCTTATTTTAAGTTGTGTTATTTCTTGTTGAGTTATTTGAGTTCCTCTAGTTATTAATCCCTTGTCAGATGAATAGTTTGAAAATATATTTCCCATTTTGTAGGTTGTCTCTTAACTCATTTTGTTTGCTGTGCAGAGAAGCTTTTTTTAAATGAAGCTAGATTATTTGAGATTACTTGATGCAATATCATTTGTCTAGTTTTGCTTTTATTGCCTGTATTTTTGAGGTCTTACTTAAAAAAACTTCATTCAGATCAATGTCCTGTTGCATTTTTCCAATGTTTTCTTCTAGTATTTTCATGGTTTCAGGTTTTACATTTAAGTCTTAATCCATTTTGAGTTAATTTTTGCATATAGTGAAAGATAGGTATCTAGTTTTATTTTTGCATATGGCCATCCAGTTTACCCAGCATGATTTATTAAAGAGTCTATTCTTTCCCCCAATATATGTTACTGGCACATTGGTCAAAAATGAGTTGACTGTAAGTGCAAGGAAATAGTTCTGAGTTGTCCATTCTGTTCTGTTAGTCTGTGTGTCTGTTTTTATGCCAGCACCATGCTGTTTTGGTTATTGTAGCTTTGTCATATAATTTGAAGTCAGCTAGTGTGAGACCTTCTAGTATTCTCTGATGGTTCTTTGTATTTCTGTGGGGTCAGTGGTGGTATCCCCCTTATCATTTCTGATTGTGTTTATTTGAATCTCATCTCTTTTCTTCTTTATTACTCTAACTAGCAGTCTATCTATTGATTTTTTTTTTTTTTTTTCAAAACACCAGCTCCTGAATTCTCTGAGTGTTTGAAGCCTTTTTTTTATGTCTCTGCCTCTTTTATTTCCACTCTGAGCTTGGAAATTTCTTGTCTTCTGCTAGCTCTGGGGTTTATTTGCTCTTAGTTCTCTAGCTCTTTTAGTTGTGATGTTAGGGTGATAATTTGAAATCTTTCTAGTTTTTTGATATGCCTTTAGTGCTATAAATTTCCCTGTTAACACTGCTTTTGCTGCATCCCAGAGATTCTGGTATGTTGTCTCTTTGTTCTCATTGGTTTCAAATAACTTACTGATCTCTGCCTTAATTTCATTATTTACCTCAAAGTCATTTGGGAGCAGGTTGTTCAATTTCCATGCAGTTGTGTGGTTTTGAGTGGGTTTCCTAATTTTGAGATCTAATTTGATTGGACTGTCGTCTGAGAGACTGTTATGATTTCATTTATTTTTCATTTGCTGAGGAATGTTTTACTTCCAATTATGTAATCAACTTTAGAGTATCATGTGGCACCAAAAAAAATGTATATTCTGTTTTTTGGGGGTGGAGAGTTCTGTGGATATCTACCAGCTCTACTTGGTCCAGAGCTAAGTTCTAGTCCTAAATATTTTTGTTAATCTTCTGTCTCAGTGATCCATCTAATACTGATAGTGGGGTATTAAAGCCTCCCACTATTGTTTTGTGGGGTCTAAGTCTCTTAGTAGGTCTTTAAGAACTTGTTTTATGAATCTGGGTGCCCCTGTATTGGGTGCATATATATTTAGGAGAGTTGGCTCTTCTTGCTAAATCAAACCCTTTACCATTTTGTAATGCCCTTCCTTGTCTTTTTTGTCCTTTGTTGGTTTAAAGTCTATTTTGCCAGAAACTAGAATTGCAACCTCTGCTTTCTTCTGCTTTCCATTTGCTTGGTAAATTTTCCTCCATCCCTTAATTTTGAGGCTGTGTATGTCTTTGTACGTGAGATATCTCTTGAATTCAGCACACCAATGGGTCTTATCTTTTTATCCAGCTTGCCATTCTGTGTCTTTTAATTGGGATATTTAGCCCATTTATATTTAAGGTTAATATTGGTATGTGTGAGGTCCTGTCATCATCATGCTGGCTGGTTAATTTTGCATACTTGTTAATGTAGTTATTTCACAGTGTTGTTGGTCTGTGTACTTCAGTGTGTGTTTATACTGGCTGGTAATAGTTGTTCCTTTCCATGTTTAATGCTTCCTTCAGGGAGCTTTTGCAAGGCACACCTGGTGGTGACAAAAATCCCTCATCATTTGCTTTTTTGAAAAAAAATTTATTTCTTTTTTGCTTATGAAGCTTAGTTTGGCCAGACATGAAATTCTGGGTTGGAAATTCTTTCCTTGAAGAATGCTGAATATTGGCCCCCAATCTCTTCTGGCTTGTAGGGTTTCTGCCAACAGGTCTACTGTTAGTCTAACTGGCTTTGCTTTGTAGATGACCTTGCATTTCTGACTGTCCTTAGCATTTTTCCTTCATTTTGACTTTAGAGAATCTGATGATTGTGTGTCTTGCAGTAGAACTTCTCGTGGAGTATCTTACTGGGACTCTCTGGATTTCATGAACTTGAATGTCAGCCTGTCTTGCTAGGTTGGGGATGTTCTCCTGGATAATTTCCTGAAGTGTGTTTTCCAGCTTGGTTTCACTTTCCCTGTCTCTTTCAGGTATTTCAATCAGTTATAGATTTGGTCTTTTTACATAGTCCCATTGTTCTCAAAAGGTTTTGTTCATTGCTTTTCATTCTTTTTTCTCTAATCTTGTCGACATGCCTTATTTCAGCAAGATAGTCTTCAAGCTCTGATATTCTCTCTCCTGCTTGGGTGATTCAGCTATTGATACTTGTGTTTGCATCATGAAGTTCTCGTGCTGTGTTTTTAACTCCATCAGGACATTTATGTTTCTCTCTAAACTGGTTATTCTAGTTAACAGTTCCTGTAATGTTTTATCATGGTTCTTAGTTTCCTTGCATTGGATTATAACATACTATTTTAAAATTATAGTTTAAGTTCTAGGGTACATGTGAAGATCGTGCAGGTTTGTTACATAGGTATACAGGTACCATGGTGGTTTGCTGCATCCATCCCCCTGTCATCTACATTAGGTGTTTATCCTAATGTTATCCCTTCCCAATCCCCCACCCCATGCTATCCCTCCCCTGGACCCACCACCTTCTTTAGTTCCGCAAAGTTTGTTATTACCTACTTTCTGAAACCTACTTCTGTCAATTCTTCTATCTCAGTTTCAGCCCTGCTCTGTGCCCTTGCTGGAGAAGTGTTGTGATCATTTGGAGGAGAAGAGGCATTCTGGCTTTCAGAATTTTCAGTGTTTTTGCATTGGTCTTTCCTCATCTTCATGAATTTATCTACCTTTGATCTTTGAGGCTGATGACTTTTGGATGGGGTTTTTGTGGGGTCTTTTTGTTGATGTTGTTATTGTTTTTAATTTCTGTTTGTTTTTCTTCTAACAGACCCCTTTTCTGCAGGTTTGCTGCAGCTTGCTGGGGCAAACTCCAGACCCTGTTCACCTGCATATCACCAGTGAAGGATGCAGAACAGCAAAGATTACTGCCTGCTTCTTCCTCTGGAAGCTTCATCCCAGAGGGGCACCAACCTGATGCCAGCTGGAACTCCTCTGTATGAAGTATCTGGTGACCCCTGTTGGAAGATCTCACCCAATCAGAAGGCACAGAATCAGAGATCTGCTTAATGAAGCAGTCTGATTGTCCCTTAAGTGGAGCTGGTACACTGTGCTGCTGGAGTCCCCCTCATCCAGATTGCCCAGAAGTTTCCAAAGTGCTAGATCAGTTTACACCTCCTTTCTAATGTGGAATTGTTGTTTTCTTCGTGATTTTTATAGTGTGCTGATTTGAACTTCTTGGAGCTGTGGGTTCCTAGTTTTCATCAAATTTGGAAATTTGTCAGCCACTATTTTTGCAAATATGTTCCTATCTCAGCCCTCCCCCTTTGAGGATTCCACTTATATGCATATTGAGCCATCTGAAGT